GCCGCCGCCTGGCCCAGGCAACACTCCGGAGGGAAGCCCAGCTCGCACGAGAAATCTGACACAGCGGCCCATGCGGTCAGCTCACGCCACACGGGTGTCAGGGTCGAGGCATGCGCAATGCGGCTTAGATCCATAGTTCAGCTTACAAGCTGCTATCTATCCTGGGCACGACATTGATATATCATAGCGGGCAGCATAAGCCCGGTTCCTATGCCGCATACCACAGCGCGTCGCCGGAGTGGTCAAGCAAGAGCAAGGTGAGGCGCAAATGCGTGCACCCGATCAGATGCCGTCGGTTATGGGCCAAGATGACTAGACTCTGGGTGAGACCAGCTGACACGCAACACGGCAGCGACGCGCCACGCCACGTCACGCAGGGGCGCACTACAAAACATGTGTAAACACGACCAGACATGGAGACACGGCCCGACCGGACAGGTGTCGCGGTCAGGGACGGGTCGTCCTGGCCAGACTCGACCAGGTAGGGCCAGACTCGGACAGGTAGGGCCAGACTCGCACAGGTAGGGCCAGACTCGGCACAGGTAGGGCCAGACTCGGCACAGGTAGGGCCAGACTCGGCACAGGTAGGGCCAGACTCGACACAGGCAGGGCCAGACTCAGCACAGGTAGGGCCAGACTCGGCACAGGTAGGGCCAGACTCGAGCACAGTAGGGCCAGACTCGCACAGGTAGCCAGACTCAACACAGGCAGGGCCAGACTCGCACAGTAGGGCCAGACTCGACACAGGCAGGGCCAGACTCGACACAGATAGGCCAGACTCAACACAGGCAGGGCCAGACTTGACGCAGGTACGGTCAGACTCGACACAGGCAGGGTCAGACGCGACACAAGCAGGGCCAAGCTCGACACAGGCCCGCCAGACTCAACACAGGCAGGGCCAGACTAGACATAGGCAAGGTCAGTCTACACGCTGCCACATGCGGGTGGCCCGGATCAGGACAGCTGGAAGCCACACCCACCATTGTCGAAGCCGACGTCCTCGATGGCCAGGTTGGATGGCACTGACCAGCGCTCGCGCGGGAACAGCTCCACGGCCACGATGTCGTCCTGCACGGCTCGGTTCAGGTTGTAGCGGCCCTGGATCAGTACCTGGCGGCGTCGGCGCAGGCTCAGGTTGGCGCCGCGCCTCTGGAGAGGGGGAGGGGGAGCGGGGCACCGCCAAGCCGCGAGCACGCTGTTCCGACCAGCCGGGAGAGCGTCACATGACGCGCGATGAACCATCTCAACGGCAATGACGTCGGCTCTCGGTACTGCCGTGTGGTGGGGCCGACAATGCGCTCCACACGCAGCACGGAAGAGTGCCCAGTACATCGTCACGATCACCACACGGCAACGTCAGATCAAAGCTGTCGATATTTCTCTAAGCTATGGCTCACACTGCCAGCCGACACCAAGCGGTTCCATCACCACGTGACCGTCGAACTGTGGGCAGTCGTTCTCGAAACCCCCCGTCTATCCGACCCCACCTCTCCAGCGCACTCACCGGCTGCTCGAGGCCCTCCACCATGACGGTGCCCTCCAGGTAGTTGTCGTCGCGCGCGAAGAACTTGCCCTGCCGGTAGGTGCCGCTCTTGATGCCAGCCTGCAGCAGCGCCAGGCCGAGGTGTTCCGGGTAGCAGACGGCGCCGTCGCCGGGCACGCCGAGCTCCAGCGAAGCCAGCTGATCGGCCAGCTCCGGGTGGTCCGGCATGGACCACACGTACGCGGAGACTGGCGGCGGCGTCAGCGCACCGTCACAGGCGTCACGGCACATCAGGCTGGTCAGGCATGGACCACACGTAAGCGGACACTGACGGCGGCGCCGGCGTCTGCGCACTGTCAAGGGTGTCACGGCACATCAGGCTGAAGGCCGTCACGCATCCCTCGACCACGGCACTTCACAGGCCACGGCTCTATGAACCGTGAAAGGGGGGGGGGGGACACCCTGGATGGCCACAGTGTAAGGTCTATTGAAGGCCCTTCTCCTCCGCCCCTCTGCTACTCGCTCAGAGCGGAGATCTCCGTCCTAACTGAGAGATGCCCAGCCCCTGGGTGTAGGGGCCATTAGTGACAGCACAGACAAGTAGGTGCAGGCATGTAACAAGTAGCTTTAAACATTTGACATTATGAACACGAAGTGTACAATCATGACACCTTAATATAAAGAAAGGAATTGACACCACTTATTGAAACAAATGGAAACCACCCAACTGTCACCATCGCAGCCCCACCCCGCCCCTGAACGCCAGCCCAACGGTACCAGCCGCCAGAGCGCGCCCACCGCGGCGCTGCTGCACGGAGCGCTCTCCGCCCACGCCGCCCCGCCGGTCACCTCTCATGGAGGGCAAGTCCTCCTTCCTGGCGCGTCGCAGGTTCTCCCGGTCGTCGGTGAGCAGCAGGGTCTTGACGCCGGTCGCGTGCTCGTTGTACCAGAGCGCCGCCCGCCGGATCAGGCGGTCGCTGTAGTCGTTGGACGTCTCGCCGGGCACGCGCTCCACGTACGTGTCCCTGTCGAGCGCGCGACGCTCACCAGAGGTCAGGGGAGGGGTGGGGTGGTGTGAGGGCAGGAGAAGTGGTGGACTGAAGTGAGCCAATGTCAGGAGCCATCACCTCAGGCGGAGCTAAGCGAGGTGAACAAAAGTGACTTCACGGGGGAGATATGGTGAAGAGAGAGATGACAGTAAGATAAAGCGACGAGGGATACGGTGATGTGGGTGTCGGTAGTGTAGTGGCTATCGCGCCTGCGTTAACCGCTTCTGGGAAACCAGAGGTGCGGGGTTTGATCACCCGCTGTGCCAGTCCCTCCTACCAGGATGAGGGGCAGGTAACGCCATATAGCCTCAGCAGCTAAGTGCGTCGTAAAGCCCCAATGACCAAATGATGCTGATGTGACCTCTGATATGAGATCAAGTGATGAGGTAAGTTAAGGGACATGGTGGGACATGAACCCCTGGAAAGGAGGGAAGGTGCCGGTTCTGTCTGCATGGGCATGACTTCAAGGCGGTGAGCAACCCTATTTCGATCAGCTCTGCTGATCAGATGCGCAACACCGAATGTCTTTCCCAGCGTGCTGCACGACAATTGTCTCCCAAGGTGTTGGCTGATTTGTGGAGATGCTATCATAGATTCGGGGTAGCTTTTCGTTCCCTAGCAGTTGCACACATCATTACGCACATCGTTCACCCCATCATTACATTATTCATTATTAGGGCATCATTACACACCATCAACCACTGAGAGCTCCAATTGCAAAGCTGGGCTTTCGCAACCTGGCACTCACGTCGTCTGACTCAAAGAACAAGTTCGTAGATCCAATCTGCATGAAAGCTACAGCCGTATCTCATGCGCTTATAAAATGGCTCCCTGCTTACCCAGATGTCAGCGTTATTACCCAAATGGAGAAGTACTTAGTGATCTATTGATAACATACTTGTGGTGTTCATTAATAAACACGTAGCAGTGTTTGTTGGTGGAGGACATGAGATCAGTCAGCTTCTTGTAGAGCGGGGGACTCCGCTTCCGCGCCTCATCCAGCACTGTCTTCAGCAGGATGACATTCTTGATGGCGTCGCTGGACAGAATCTCCAGCTGAAGACGGACCAATCATCAGTCAGTTCAGACATTGGCACAAATATGGGACACCAACAAAGGGGTGCCCAAAAGACAGCGTCGCTCAGCTGACATACGTTT